GGCGGACCGCCCCCAACTTCGGGCGCACCGCCCCCATCTTCGGGCGAACCGCCCCCAGGCCGAAGCCATCCTGATGACTTCGGGCGAACCGCCCCCAGGCCGAAGCCTTCTTGATGACTTCGGGCGGGTCGCCCCTGTTCGGGCGGTACGCCACCGAGCACAGAAGCTCCCTCGCGCCGCTACCGTGAGGTGGAAAACCGGCGCTGGCAAGGGTACAGGGCGCGACGCGCACCGAGACGGATTGTGGAGACGCAGCCGAACGACCTTGGCATCCGCCGCCTCCTCCAGCGAGGTGAATGGCCAAGTCACCCCGAGGAGGAGCACCCCGCGGAGCTGGTCGACCAGCTGGCTCGTCATCAACCCGCCAGCACTAAGCGTCACAGTCCTGCACCCTTACCCTACTGAAGGTCTCGAAGCGATGGGATGAGATGGGGGTGGCCGGCCTGGTGCACCGGTATACTCAGGCCAGCCCGCTGGAGGTGGTGCTGCTGCTGGTCTCCAGGAGGTGCAGCATGTTGTCGAGGACTGCGTGCAGCTGGCCGGCGACCGCATTGTCGGCGGTGCCCTCTCTGACCTGACTGATGCGGGGGCGCTTACCCGACGGGTCAACCGTCTCGACGTGCTCCGCGTTGATGGCGGCGTAGAGCGCGTCACCGCAGTTGGCGGGGCGACTGAAGCGGACGGCACGGCGCACCTCCGGGTCGGTGATGCCTTTGAGGAACGCCTTCTTGGCGACCGTCTGGAGCTCAGTCTCCAACCAGCGGGGGTAGGCCTCCCGCGCCAGGCGCAGAATCTCGGCACCGAAGTCGGTCAGCGACTCACCGGACTTCTGCACACGGCGGTCAAGCTCGGCCTCGGCGACGACCTGACGCTGCGCTGGGTCGTAGTGCTCCCGGAGACGCTCGCACAGCCGGTCGTAGTTGGTGTAGTCGGCCGGCGGTAGGGTCTGGATGAGGTCCGCAGCACGGCCTTGAAGGGACTCCAGGAGGCGGCGCCCTCGCGCCTCGGGCGAGAGCGACTCGGTGGCGCTGTCGAACTGGGCAGCAAAGACGGTCCAGGACCGTGTCCCGTCAAAGGTCGGGATCCTGGCCCGTACATCACCTTCGCGCTGCTGGTCGAGGGACACCGTCGACAGCCGCTCCAGAGCAGTGGTGTGCCGCTCCTGCAGCTCGACTGAGGAGCGCGCCCAAGCCTGCAGGACCTCCCGGGTGTCCGCGTGTCCGCGGCTTCCTGGCGGAGGCGGTCGCGGCTCCGGGTGCGGCTGCGGCGGCGCCGCGGCATGACGGAGGAGGTAGGCCAGGCGCAGGGGTCAGGAGGAGTTCAGGAAACGCCTTGCCAATCCCACTTCTGACACCAATGTTAAGAGAAGGGCGGCTCGGGATGGCAAGGGTTTAATGCAGGGCGAGGGCAAGGTACAGGGGAACTAGTAGAGCGTGCTCAGGACGACGGTCA